AATGCATAATTACATTTATAATAAGTAAATTGTTTTAAAATTGCAAATTAATATAAATTTAACGTGCTTAATTAATAAATTTATTAAATAACATACAAAACGTTTAAAAATTATACAAATTTAGGAAAATTTAATATATCACAGAACTTAAAATACATATAACATTTTTTATTTGATATCTTAGCTATAATATTTACAATTAATTATATATATGATATATATAAACAAATTATGGAATCTTATAAAAAACATTAACATGTTTACAAACGACAAAAATTACGATAAACTTGCAAATATAAGATCGTTTAAAAATTTATGCATATATAATACACAATAAACATTTATAGTTGGTTGTATTCTGACATTGAAAAAAGGAAATGGGAATAAATAATAGTCCTTAATCAAGGATTCAATCGGAGGATATGAAAAAAATTAAAATGACAGACATAACAAAGTGTAGCGAAAGATAACAGTGTATAGTAAGTACGTGACATGTAGAATAGTGAACGTAAATACCTTTGTAAGAGAGGGAACCGGGGCTTCGTTGTCCAGAGGAAGAAGTCTCCGGCGAGATGCGGGCCCGCCACGCACTCGCATTTGTTGGCGATACGGTGGGACTGTTGCTATTGCTCTTCCTGAGACTGCTGCCCTGCCGGCCTTGTCTTAGCAGCGAACTTACGGGTAGAGTCGCGCGCATTGGGCCTTGCTTCGATGTCGAGCATGGCGAGGATTTTCGCATTCGCTGTGATCCCGACATTTTGTCATATAGGCAGGTGGCACTCGGGCCTTTGATACTGGTGCGTTTGATACACTGTTTCAAGTATGTTGTACTAAGGACGGGGCGCCGCGGGCACCGTTCAGGGCACGAGGCCTCCGAGCACCCGCGACTTTGTCGCGCACACGCGGCGACAGCAGCGGTGGTGCCGACAGCAGCGAGGACAGATTTCAGAATCGTTTATAATATTTGCCTTCTCGGTGGCGGACGAGATCTCATCAACGATAATGGTAGCAACGACGACAACGGCGCGACGAATTCACCAGCAACTACGACGAGAACGTTGGTAGCGGCGGCGCGACGACAATGCCCTACGCGTCTTGTCATTTGCAATGTTCTGCTGCTGCCTCGGCACGCACGTCACGTGATCGTCCGTCCCGGCTGGTCATTGGTGCAACGTTAGCCCGTGGAGCGTCGTACTACGCTCACCCGTGGGGGCCGCGTTCCATTCACTACCACCGTAGCACCGTACCTAGCGTCCTATCGTTTTCTCACTCTCTCGTTCTCTAATTTTCTCTCTCGTCTTCGCGCTTGTGCAGTGGCCCTCAAATTCGCCCTTTCTCGATTACTTTGATGTCCCGTCGAAAATGTTATTTAACGGTTGTTCTTGATATTCGTGAATTATTAGTTTTCTTACAAACGTCACTTAGCTATTAATTTTATATTGAAGGTTATACGAATCATTTTAAACACATTTTTTAGCACAAAATCACATCTCAATCGAAAGGATGTTTTGGTGTTCGTGTACGACGTGCGCAACTCTGCTTATATACACCTGCACGACACACGTATAGACCAGTATGTAGCGTCTTACGTTTCACGTTATGTACGTAATGGAGGAGCACAAGCCGATGAATAGCGTGTGTGAATAACTTTCGTGTACGGAGCACGTACTAGCACAAGCGTAGTATCCGAGCTTACGTTTTTCAGCTACGGCGCGTGCACGCTACATTCATTCGATACTCTCGCTAGGAAAAATCTCGAGATAATCGTTTCAATTTACTACTATCGAACCGATATTTACGCGCGAGATTGATTTCGATATTATTGATAATTCTAAATTTTTATAATTTCTTTAATTAAAATTAATTAAATAATAATAATTAAAATTATTATTTCAATTACTTGTATTATATTTACCATTTAAAATTATTGAAAAAATCAAAATTTTGTTTATTTTAAATGATTTGTATTTTTTTATAAATATTAACAAAACTATTCTTAATATTTAATAATTCAGGATAATAACATTTATTTTTTATAAATTAAGTTCATATATTTATTTACAATATTGTACATTATACTGTTTTTTTATTACATATATTTTTTAAGTTATTATTGATAACATATGACTAGATTAAATAATATCAAATTTAAAATATTGAAAAATCAGTCAAAACTTTTAATGTGTTAGTAAATATATATATAAAATTAATATTTTGATAAAATATAAAATTTTTGTTTTAATTGAAATATGAAATATGAAAATAAAGCTAAAGCAAATCCTAAAAGCATTGATTTATGTATGACATGTGTTATTTATATGTAAAAAAACTATAAAATAATGATATGTAATTTAAAAAATATAAAATTATTATATTAAAAGCATATTAAGTCACTTGTCATATGTTGTCAGCATAAAAATATTAAAATTAATGACACAACTTTATATTATATTATATTGCATGGAAATTTGTTTAATAAAGGCACTGCCATGCTTCTTACTAAAAACTAATGACATAATATACTTATAATTAATTATACTTTTATATATGCATATACATACATATAAGTATGTATATGCACACAATATTTGTAAATAATACTAAATTATTTTGCAAAATAATTTACAGGAAATGCTGTATATCAATTCCAAAAATAATTATTTAAAATTATAGTATCTTACAATTTTTAGAGAATTTTTCTATTATTCTAGTAACATACTTATAAAGAGTAATACTAGTAATACTTATAAAGACAAAAAATTAACATACATATAATTATTTAAATAATAATAAAAGAGTAAAAATATATTTGTATATGCATTAATTGTTGAATATTATATATCTTTTCTTAGCATTATTAATAAATGAAATTATATTTATTAATGAATGAAAAATATAAATATAATGACTAAATTCATAAATTTAAAATAATGAAATATTATATATAGTATATATAATAATATAACAAATTATTCTTATTTATAGGAGTTTGTTTCTTAATTATTAGAAACAATTGAACACAATACTGACATGTGTTTTAATTTGTATGTCAGTCCATTTAAATTTATATTTATTAATTATCAATACTAAAAAAAAAACTGTCTTTTTTTTTAATAAACATTTTTTTTCTAAACTAATTTCTAATATAAAGATAATGTATAAATGCTGAGATAAAAATAAATTTTAAGCTTTAACAATTCTAATAAGTAAAGAAAACTAAGATTAGCTAAACTCTTTTTATTTTTTTTATCACAATAATCAGTTTTAATGTAAGTTTATTGAAAATTCAAAGTTTGAATTTTTTATCTAAATTTCTTTAATAATCATTTACAAATAAAAAAATTGTGGCATGATATAATAAATAAATTTATGCATAAATTATATATTGATACTTATCATTATAAAAATGACATCTTTACAAATATGTAAAATATTATAATATTTGCAATGTAATAATTATAATAATTTATACATAAATATATATATTTATTTATATTTATATACATTTATGTATAAATGGTATATGCATAATTTTATATATTATACAAAATTCATTTAAATTCATACAAATAAAATATATTATTTTAATTTGTAATAATACTGGAAAAATATTAGCACACAATATTAAGTTATTTTTATTTACTTATTATAATATGTATTATTTATAATACACTAATCAATTTTTAATTAAAATTAATAAAAAATTTATAATTAATAAAAAAAACAATCTAACTTCTAAATCAAAAAATTTAATGAGTATATTATGACAAATGCTTTGAATGATAATCAAAAATAAGTTAATATTCATAAGAAATAATTTTTGTAAAATAAATGAGTTAAATATTGAGATGAATATGAAATATAAATAAAATTTAAAGAATTATTTATTTTTTATCATCATTTTTTCACATAAGATTTTCATACAAAGCACTTTAGGTATGTATATATATATATTTTTTTTATAAATTTAATATTCATAAAATTAAACTATGCTCTTTATTATAAAAAATATTATTGATCATTGATTTAATGAAAATGATACAAATATATTTTTTAATATAAAAAAAAAATAACTTTAAGATATATTTAATCGAAACATTCTTTTTTAAATTTTTGTTGAAAATAAATATAATTTTTATTATATAATTTAATTTTATAGTGAGTGTTTTATTTTTTTCTCTTTCTTTCATTTATAATAAATATAAACAACAATTATAATTATATTAAATTTTTTACTAATTGTGAAGTTGATTTTTCAATGATATTCTTTACAAAATATTGATGACATGAATAAATGTAAATGATTTTTTTTTTTTTAAATAGATTTAAATATAAAAAAGAAATTTATCTATTAAAAAATTTCTAAAAGTATTCTATATATTAGAATTTGTAAATAAACGGAACTCTTTCATTTAACATTTAAATTATTTTCTCATAAATTCCTTATATAGATATTATTATATATATATGAATTTCAAGAATTTATTACTACATTTATACAATACGTTTTTTTGAAATATATAGAACTCTGATGACAATTGTCATGAATTTGAAATGGCAGTGAAAAATATCTATTACATATATATATTCCAAAATTATTCTAAAAAAATAAAAAAAAATCACTTTCATTATTATTTAATTAAAAAAATTAAATTAACAGATACAATGATACAAAATTTAAAAAATTATATTATATTAATTAAATCTGTTTTATTTTAAAAGAACAAATTATGTAAAATTTAAAATAAATAAATAAAAATTTTTGTTTTATATATAAACGTTACATACATATATATATTTACACGCAATCTATATTAAATATCACCAATTTTTCTTTCTAAATCAAAATAAAAAAATTATTTTGATTTATCCAAATCAATAACTTCAAAAAATGATACACAAAAAATGCAATAAAAATTAAAATTATACATAAAATCGTAACAAAAGTCTTATAGAAGTAAATAATTTAAATTATATTAAATGCATATTTGGTATATAACTGCAATGTATGAATGATTTTTGTGAATATATGATAAATTTGATTTCAAATCAACTTGTTTTTACCAATATCTATATTTTTTTATACAATCATTTCCCAAGTCTACAACTACTAAATGATTATCAGGTAGTACTGCAATACCTGAAGGACGTCGTAGTTTTGAACTATGTGAATCAATTTCAGTTAAAATATTACCTCCTCCTAACTTTAAAACTTGGATTATACTGCGACCTTTATCAGTACGAGTACCAAGTATTCTGCCTTCTGTATCAACAGCAAGGCCTCCATAAGTACCTTTTCCTATAATATATGAAATAATAAATATAGTACTTAATATAATAATATAATAATAATGAAAATACGAATTACCTTTGCCTTCTAAATAAATTTCTTCAGAAAAATCTCCTTTAGCAGAAAATACTTGTATACGACTATCAGCCACTATTATTTCACCATTGGGTCCAACAGTCACAGACGTAATTAATTTAAATGTACTTCTTTTTCCAACCTATTAATTAATTTTTAAGATATATATATATAAGATATATATATATATATATATGATAAAAGAGAAAAATAATAATTAATTATAAATTTAAAGAACCTAAATATTATCCAACCTGAAAGAGAATTTTGCCATCAGAATCAAATACAAAAACACAACTTTGACCATTGTCTGCAACAAGTATATGGCCATAACTCCTATCAACTGCAACATCAATTGGTTCCTATAAAATAAATAAAAAAAATAAATATATTAATATGATAAATAATCAAATAATAAAAATTATTTTATAATATTATAGAAATAAATACTAACTTGAAATGCATTATGGGAAAAAGATTTAACAGTATCTCCTAAAGAACTCATCTCAGTTATTTTACGTGTCCTCCAATTAACAACAACGATACCTTGTTGAGATATACCAATTCCTGTACAACTACGTCCTTCTAGACCTTCATTAGTTATATGCCTTTGAAATTCTAAATCACAATTGAGTACCTAGAAATATAATATAAATATGTAATTAAATATAAGAATTTAAATACTTATAATAGATTAAATTTTTCAGTATACTTTTATTCGTGAGTTCCCAGTATCTAAAATATATATCATGCCATCATCATCAACAGCAACTGCTACTGGTTGATGAAATTCATCTTTTCCATTTCCTCGTCTTCCATATATCTTAATAGGTTCATTATGTTCAGTTGCATCAAAAAATAAAGGATAATCTTTAATAGGCCGTTCAAAAACTGATAACTTTAAAATATAACGACTTGCAGATGGAGGTCGAAATAGTACTTCATATGTACCATTTTCTAAATCTAATATTTCAGTTTCAATACTAGAACTTTGGTTTTCTGAATGAATACTATCTGCTAAAGTTAATTCTGCAGTGATAAGATCTCCTCCAACATTTCTAGGATGTCCATGATAGTCAACAGTCTCTACTATAACAGCTGCTTGTAATTTAACTATGGCAGGATCTTTCAACCGGGCTCTGCATAAACCTGTTTTAAAATATATATTATTATTTTAAGTATAATATAATTTTTTTATAAATGGCAAGTTAAAAATATAAAGCAATAACATTTGCATAATGACTAATAACAAGTTTGAAGCAGGTACTTTACTGTATTATCAATCCTCAGGATACCTGGCAATGTTGTACTAGAACGTACTCTTCCCAAATTATTAAGAGCTTCCTCTAGTTGAGAAAGAGCATTATTGTGATTAAATTCAAAAGTAATAAAAGCATTTTCTTTAGGTTCACTAAGTGCTGATGCCGCATCAAGTTGATCAGATAAACTACCGATTCTTTGTGTAATATTTCGAACTTCAACCTTTAAAAGGAATATACATTTTTTATTATATTTATATAATAAATAGATATAGGTGTATATTTTAATCCTTATTAGTAATACCATATCCAATATCTACTAATATCATACCTGATATTGTAAACCTTCACATTCTCCTTGCACTTTATTTTTTTCAGCTTCTATTAGAGCATGTTGTTCTTCTAAGACATGTTTCTTATCTCTTGCAGCAGCAGTAACAGCTGCTTGCAATTCTGAACGCCTTCTTTCTATTTTTGAAATAATTTCTGCAAATTCAGTATCTACAGCATTCAAACATTTTTCTGTTGAAGCTTCCAAACGTTGTAATTCCGTACTTACAGAATCCTGGGCTTGTGTTAACTAAATATAATACTCTATGATTACTAATATACTATAATACTCTATGATTACTAAATTTCAAAAAATCATGACAAAAATATATTATTACCTTAGATATACATTCATTAGCTTTATAAAGCAATATTTCAGACATTCTTTTTATTGCAATACTAAAAGGTATGATAGTATGCTCGGTACATCCTGGTGATGTTCCTGCATGATTACCACCTGTACATACTGTACAAAACACTGTATCACATGTTTCACAAAATAATAATTCTTGATTTATATGAACTGAACATTTTGGAATAACCTGTAATAATAAATAAAATTTAATAAAATACTTAATATTCACAACAAAAAATTATACAAAAAATATTGTTTCAAACCTCTCTTCTTTGTCTAGACATAAGATCAAGCAATTGATTTACAAGAAAACTAGGTGGTAAAGCAGGAACTCCACCACGAGGAATTGTTATTAATTCTCTGCAAATAGGACATCGAAAAGCACCAGTCTCACGAGTTTGAGATGCAGCAATTCTTGTTAAACAATGTAAACATACCTATACATATAAAATGTAAATAAGTTATAATTTAAATAATACAAATGATATTAAAAAATAACTGATATAATATTTACAGTATGTGAACATGGTAATAATTTTGGGGTATGTTCTCCACCATCATAAACACAAAGACATGTACCACATGTTAAAAAACTTTCATTAAAATCTTCATAGTTTATGCTAACAGTTTCCACGAGCATAGAGCTCATACTAACCATCCTCTCCCCTAGCCGTGTCCTGTAAAATATAAAATAATTCGCAATTAAATTTATAATTGTAATTAAATGAAATATAAAATAATGTAAATTTTGTAAATTTTTATAAAATAAAAAATTTGTTTTGATATAATATAATATAAATAATATTAAGAAAATTTTATGTATTTTTTAAATATTATTTTTGAATAAAATATTATTCTTTATATTATATATAATCTCGAAAAATATAAGTAAAATTAATAAAGAAAAATATATTTATCAACATATTAAATATTATAAATAAATATAATTCAAGAATATAAAAAATAATTTTAATAAATTTAAATATTATTATAATATACTCATGAAAGAATTTCTTATATATATCATAATTAATTTTTTAACGCTGTACATACTCAATTGTTATGACAATATTATTTTCTCTGTTTAATTTTATAAAAATAAAAAATATATAGGGTGTCGCAAAAATTTATGAATTGTGAACAAGTATACATTTTGACGTTCACAATTTATTTTAATTGTTTGGCTATAATAAGTGAACAAATATAAACAAAATTTTGTAGTATTAAATATATTAAAACAAATTATTTATAAAAACATTTGTTGAATAATAAACTCACTGTATAGCTAAACGCAGTGCCTCCATAATGGAGATAGCCCTGTCGTTGCTTTGAGAAATATATACATCCGTTACATTGCACACGTTTTAGCGGGGTGTCGATGCACGCTTGGAATATATCTCTTTCTTCTCGTATAAATTTTCATTATCAAATGAACTTAACAATATTAATAAGTTCAATAAATGACTTTTGTATAAATTATATCTTTTAATTTCATGCTGAAGAATTTAAATGTCAAAATATATCAATATCAAAAAGAAAATACTGTTTCCAAGTGCTATCGAAGTAAGGAACTTTCTACATGCAATTTTTTTTAATAATATTTTCAAATAAAATTACTTGATGCATTGTCTTTTTTTCTTTCTTAATAAGTATTAATAACTTCAAATACAATACACATTCATATAAAATATTATCAATGAACACAACACTTCTTTCATAATCTTTATCATAAAAGAACCACCAGGTACAAAGCATATGCCGATGTATACTCTGTCTATATTTTTTTCTAATACCTATTGTCCCTGACACGGAAATAGTTGTAAAGATGAATTTTTTTATATTCTAAAAAGCTTACTAAATCGTGAATTATATTAAAAAATACAAAGAACAATTTTGTTAAACTTTAGATTTATTTTTATTTCACTTTTAAAATTGTTTGTTTTTGCAAATTTTTAATATCATTTTAAATGTTTATTATATATGTCACTATCACTTGCAATATATCAGCGGAATCACATACGTGCCTACTCCCTTGAGATGATAGCAAAAACACTGTCGAAATTCGTTGCTCTTCTGTCGCATTTTTCCAAATAAATACAGACACGGACAACAACGAACCGCATCAGCTGCGGAGCGCAGCGACTCACGTTTTACAGCTGCGCACGTTCTCGCCTGCATCCACAGCCGGCACCACTACCAGGGACGAAATGATAGGTATATTATGCGGGTGCCCGCGGCTACGATCTATCAAGATGTGTTTCTTCCTTTCTTCATTTATGTTTCTGCGAAAGTTTCTTCAACCAATATAATACTATTCTTATACAAAATAAAAACTACAATTTCAATAATTAATTCATCTGAATCATTATGATAAAAACAATTTCTTGTTTAGAATTGAACTGAATAGATAAGCGCATTTTTATGAAGAATATCATAAATAGATAACATTGACAAATGCGTTATTTTTATGTATGAATTTTTGATATGTTGTAATTAACGTAGGACAAATAAGCATAGCATTTATAATGCAAGAATAAAATGAAGTTATTTTGTTAAAAAATATTAAGTTAAAGCATTAATATTATGTTAAGTATTGTGCGCAATGTAATACGTCCCTGAGTATTGGCGCACCATCAAGCGTTTACCACAAGAGTGAGAAGAAATATAAAGGAGAAAGCGATGATAAAGAAAGAGAGATACACGCGTCTCCTGAAGGGTAAGGAGACGTACAACACCAACGGCAGCTATACAAAGACGGAGAAATGCCTGGTATGCTTGTGCGAGGTACACGGTTACATAGTCGGCTGAATTGTCTACTGCGCAGTCGCCCATTAAAAGGTGTAGCATCTGATGCTTTACTTACGTGCACTTGCTACAGCCGGCTCTCAGACAGCTGTACATTTTCTATAGTCACGAATTTCATGTTTTTATAAACTCTCATCTATATGCAGCATTACATTCACTTTATAATATGGTTTTTAAGTGCTTATGAATTCAGTCATACACGATAATCATATCTGATTAGAAACTTGTTTTATTGAAAAAAATAATTACATTTTTAATGAAAGTCACAGAAAATGTATAATTAAAAGAAAATAAAAAAATAAAAATTTTATTAATATTATCAATTTTTCCAAAAAATTAAATCTGATTTGTATTTATCATATATATTTATTAATTTTTATAAAAATTAATACAAAATAAATATTTAAATTTATATTTATTTATAATTTATTTATATTTATATATATATATATATTTAAAAAAATTTATTTTTGAAAATATTTTGTTCTTTTTTTAATTTTTTATAATAATTATATTTTATAAACATATTTTCACATTTTTATTTAAACAAAAAATGAATTTATTTTTATATAATATTTTAAAGCATTAATATATATCTTTATCTTCATTTTTATCAATCCTTAAAATACGAATCACGTACTATCATGTAAACTATGTAAATTTTTATATTATAAAGGTATACACATTTCTTAAAAAAGTTCGTCACATACTTACATGAATGGACAGCAGCTCATGAAGCTTCCTTTGATAAACTCAGATGATAAGTTATTTTTATACAAGCAGTATTGGCGCGATATATTATTTATGGCGTCCCAAGGATCTTACACAGGCGTGATATGCACACTAACAAAGCACCATGATACAGCAATTTAAGTGTAGCAAGATCTTCAATATTATATGACTGTTTACAACAGCATTTTCCAATGAGCTATGTTCAAATACTGAACGTTTGATCTTTTATCACAAATGAAAAATGCCGAAATATAGTCAAACATTTATATATCTTTTACATTATTTATATATTTTTAAAACATTTATATATTTTTTACTTTAAAAGAACTTTACAACATCAGGATATAAAAGCATTAACATAAATATATACGTTTATAGATTTTATTTAATATTCGTTGTCACACTTCTAAACAATAAAATTGATGAACATTAATACATCTCCAATACATGAGTCAAAACAGTATTAGTGGTGCATCGTTTCCTATATAATATTGAACAGATAGATTATACCAATATATTAACCTTTTTATGCTCAATTTTGCAATTTTGGCAATCGTGTCACACATACAAATTGTATTTTGTACACACGATATTTTTTTCACATTTAATTATTAAATTATTTTATTAACAGTATCTGAATAGAACAAATTCGTAACTATAGTATTTTTATTTGATAAAAATTTAATAATAATGATAGATCGGCATTCATTATTTTTCTCACTACAAACACCGAAGGTTTTACCACTCTTAACACAATCCCCCGAGTACAGTTTCTACCGCGCTCATATTTCTCTAGTGCAAACTACTAGAATGACGTTGCTCATAAGACGAAAGATAAGGATAGCGATATTGATTTCAGATAATGTACATTAAGCTCCAGCAGGTGGCATGGCCACCAATCCTCGTCTTTCACACCACGTTGTTTTTCTCAGAAAATGATACGAATAAACATGGCACTGAGAAATCGCGAAATATAAGAAACAGGGGATGAAAGTACAACCTCTAAACTGTCCTTGCTCAATTGCGCATGCGCACTATGATTTAGGTCATACATATGACAAATGGACATTAGTTATATACATTGTAGAGTTTTCTTTCTTATTTTCAATTAAAATTAGGATTATTGTTTATTATAGTTTGAAAAAAATTAATATATCAATATTATATCAATTTGATGTCTTATACAATTTAAATATTGGCAATTTGATATAGAATATGTGTTTTGTAAACATTGACGAGATCGGGGTAGTAGTGCGCATCCTTGGCCTCGATGTTGGCAATCTTTGAATAAGTGCTAGCAGTGGTGTAGTCAAAAGAATTTCTAAAGCTATCGTAATGTTTGTTAGATTTTGTTTGCAAAAAAACTTTATTATTTGGATTAATTGTTTCATTATTCCATTATATAATTTTTGATAAATATTTAATTTAAAATTAATATCTTGTAAAATTATTAGAAAAACATAGTTTTATAGATATATAAGATTTATATTTGAAAATGTTATTATGCATAATATTTTTCTTATTTCTGAAATAATTTTTAATGCATACAATTCAAGCATGCGCTATTAAAATCAGATCATTCGATGTTTGGCCGAAAGATAATTAATATAACAAAAATAAGAAAATAAAAATAAGAAAACAAAAATATATATTTTGAATCGAAATTTAAAATTGAAAAATATTACTTATATTAGTATCTATTAATATATTGGATGTACATAAAATGTAATAGTTAATTTAATTTAAATTATATCTGTAAAAGATCATATACTTTTTCGAATAAGTATTTTATATATATGTGCTTAAATGTTCTATTTAATTCAACGCATTAGATATGCGTAACATTAATTCATGTATTACGAAATGTAAAATTAGTGTCACCTTAAAATGCATCTGCATAAGCGTAGATCATATAATAACATATACAAATTAACAATTATGTATATAAATAAATTACAATTTAGAAAACATAAAAAAATAAAAATAATAAATTAAAAATAAAATCAAAAAAAAAAATTATTTTACAAATTGATGTTTTATAAATATAATATAATTTCTTTGATTATTAAATTAGAGTACGTATATTTAGTCTCTTCAAGATTCATTTTATGGTTCTTAAACTACTATTTTTCTCTTTAATATTTCTTTCTCTTATAAATATATAATGTTTAAAAAAAGCTAAATAATGTTTTTAATTAATGAAATGATTTATTTTACATTGTATTCAGAAATAACGATTGCAGATATATATAATTCATCATTCAATATTCATGTAATTCAATTAAATTCAATTATATTTCTAATTCTTATTTTCTATGTGATCTTTGATCCAATCAATATAATTGTAGACGCGAGTAAAAACATCCGGTTGACCTCTTGCACACGGTGTTCCCCAGGATACTACTCCGATTTGTACATTATCGGCAACTAAGGGTCCACCAGAATCACCCTGTGATTCAAAAATGAATAATTTAATACACATAATGTTTATGATATTATATATATTATTAAAATTATCTAAAAAAAACCTTTTATTTATAAGTAAGATAAATTAATTATTGCATATTTATATGTTTATAAATGAAATTGTGAATTAATGTCATAATATCAATATAGAGATACAATAATTACTTTGTTGGTGTAAAAAATTCGTACATCGAATAAAAGAATAAAAAGGCAATTATTTTATTTTATTTTATCGCGTAAGAAAGTTAAGGGTGCGATACATCCCGCATAGTTAATGTAATTCTTTTCAAACTAGGTGAGTGGGATTCAATGGTGCTCACTGTTACGCTTTCGTCGACACAGTTTTCGTCGACGGACTACAAATAAGAAAGAAAAGTGCCGCTTTAGTTAAGGGATCCTTTGACATGAAAGAGCCCTCTTCTAGAGTACTAGACATGAATGCACTTACGTGACAAGCGCCTTCACCCTTCTTGTTAAGTGTGCAGATATTGTCATTGGTGACACGGAAGCTGACATTTAAACATTGTTTTTGATCGATCACATTCAATTGAATATAGTATAATTCATTTGGCACTTGTCCAGGATACTTTGATGATTTGTATATAATTGGTATTGTGATTAATTGCCATTCAAATATATAAGAATAAATATATAAATATATAAGTACAATGATAATAAATAATAAAATAAAATTGTAAAATTATAATTCATATAGATCAATGCTTACGCTAGTAGTTCCCCAACCAGATAATACAGCAGGATAATCTATTTTATTGAAGTTTTCATTGGGTAATTGAATAGGCTTCACTTTATCTCCGAAAATGATATTCTTATCCAACTTGATCAATCCAATATCGTTTCTGATCAATATAGAACTGTATTTTGGATGGCCAATTATTTTTTCAGATTGATAATTATCACCGCCTTTGTCTAAAGTATTAGTACCCAATACGACAGTTATTGCTGTATCATTAAAACTAAAATAATCGATAGGTAAAAAAAAGAGGAAAATCATTTATTTAGAAATATAGAGTATATAGAAATTTAATTACTATCAACCTTGATAAGCAGTGAGCAGCTGTCAGTATCCATCTTTTATTTAATACTGATCCTCCACAAAAATGACGATTTCTATAACGAAGTGAGGCTTGATAGGGATATTGCCCATCCTCTGCTACAGAACCACCGACAATTTTTGGAATTTCGTTTATATTTGCAGCTATATTTAATTATATATAAATAATTAATGTGGATTCTTAATTTAATATGTTAATAATTTTTTAATCGATTTTTACAGTTTTTACGGTGTTTTATTTTTTTTCTAAATAAGAAATTATTACCTGATGCTTCAAATATAAAAATAACAATAAAAATATTAAAAAATGAAAACATTTTAAGATAATAGGTTTTTTGTGACAATAGGTAAACTGTCAACTTGGCATACTGGATATATTTGAGGAGTATTTATACTTTTAATGACCGTGGAAATTAAAGATATGCCTGGACAGTATTTAAATTTAGGTCAGATATTACCTAAAAAGCTTATTCAGATGTATCTCACATATACTATGATAATAACTAAGAAAACTCATGTTGTTTATTTAAGAGGAAAACGATCCTAGACTAACAATATTAAAAATGTATTCGTTTATCTCTCAATGGGGGTTTCCTAATTATGGCTCAACAAAGAATAATCTTGCTATTTTTAGATAACAGGTTTGTCTACCTTATTTTATCTTCAGTTTTGTTTTATTTTCACTGATATTGTCCTCATTTAAAATTTTTTTAGATTGCACTTTTTTAAGAATTCAAATTTATTTTTAAAGAAAATTTATTAAAATTATTTTTATTGACAGTTACAAAATATTTTTCTGTTTGAAAGCTGATGTAATTCATGATGTTACATGACTAATTTCGAAAGAATTAACGCAATAGTTATAAATTATATTTGTACAACAGAATTTTGGTTTCGATATACACTAAAAATTATTTGGTTTATTCGATTTGTGTCTATACATCGATGATTCAAAAGGGATTATTTAAGGGTCTTATTAAACGAGTGCGCAAGATAATTTAAAAAGGCATAAAGCTAACAATTTATTCCATTATGACATGACTCACCCTGATTATGTTCCATTCGGAGATGGTGGCTGGGTGATTGGCCTCATTCAAATTACATGGTAGTGGTAAGGGTCTAATTCTGTCATCACACACGAACGTACAGTGTGCTTAAATTAAATTTGTATTATTAAATATTATTATTAAGATAATATTTTTATTATACGCGTAGTAGCATATATAAACAAAAATAATTTTTTTTTCAATATCGAAATTGTATGTGTAATTTATTTCGATGATTTAATTATTAATTGTGATTTAAAACAGATTAAATATATTGTGAAATAGATAAGGAACGAGGAGCATTATTCAATAATAATAAAAAAGAGAACAACAAAATCGTACAACTTGAACTTCCTTTATTTAAATGAATTAGAGGTAATATGAACCGTCGATGTAATATTGTTTATACAAAATCAATTGTTTAAAAAAATCAATTTCATTTTATATTCCCTGTTTTTAATTCTTGAATATTATCAATTATCTGAGAATTATCTAAAAAATGCGAACTATTGCGTATTATTCTTATTAATCAGAACTTCAGTATTGACAAATACATGTGAATTTCGCAACTGCTCATATTCCTCGTTGCATATATATATAAAATATTCATGTATTTCACAACCAGAAGTTAATAATCAGAACTGTACCGCTTCTCCCGTGCATATAAGTAAATAAATAAACATAAAAAAAAGCTTGGTCATAAGTAATCATTTCTATCGCGTATATATTTCTTTATTTTGTTATTCGAGCTATTTATGTATATATATATATATATGTGTGTGTGTGTGTGTGTGTGTGTGTGTGTGTGTGTGTGTGTGTGTGTGTATGTACATATATATGTATATATAAAGAGAATATATGTATATACATACATATACATATATATACATACATATATATATACATATATACATATATATATGTATAAATTGTCCGTACCCTTATATAAGTATGATCATTTACAAAAGCTACTATTACAGTATCACTTGCCAGTGACCACGCTTTAATGCACGCTTATTTTTTCGGTAAATCATTTAAAAGTGAATTTGTGTAATATAATATTTGAAAAGCGTGGATCATAGGCTTATTTTTTTTCTTTTTGTTTTATTTGTGTTCGTTTAAATATATATTATTGACCTTGTATCATATCGAACCGATAAAACCTTATGATTGTCTAATATTCTGAATATAACTGTATATTATAAATTGTGCCTTCTCATTCGAATGATGCTCCTTAGTATTTTAAGGGTGAGTGAGTATTTCTGTACGGCATGTCTTTTGTAACATTCGTTACATATAGAATAACATCGATAATATACTAAAAATATAAACATTATTTCATTTTTTTAAACATAAAAAATCATACAATTATAATTTAATAGCTAGTACATACAAAATTAAATGCCAGCACCCGTTGAACGAAACGGATCATCTTTTCAAAATGTATAAATCACACACAAAAAATTATTAAAATTTAAATGAAAATATTTTTCTGCCGTTGAAATACTCATAGAGACGTAATAAAAAAGAAATTATATAGAAAAAGAAAAAAAAAAGTAACGAATTAAATAAATTTTTAATACAAAAATATTTAACTTACTTAATCTTAATTTTTATTCAGTTGAATAATATTAAACGTTATTTATGAAAATCAGAATATTTATGAAGAATATTTATGAATATCAAAATTAAAGATCATACGAAATATGCACATGGAAAATGAAAATAAAACTTACTTTATGCTTTTTACCTTTGACTTAAAATAGGAATTAGAGAGAATTCTATTTAAATAGGAATACTTTTAATAATAGTCAATTTATATTTTTATTTTTTTTGTTTTTGACTGTTGAGAATATTTTTTAAATTTAAACCAACTAAAAAATCTGCCTATTTTAATTTAATCAATTGTGTTTGAATTGATCAAAGATAAATAAATAAAAATATGCTTTATATTTATAAATAAATATGCAAATCGTGCAAATCTAGTTTAGGTCTTTTTTAATGATGATTAATGAAGTAACCAAAATTATACGATAAAGTTACTTTGTATTAACATTCATTTAATGTAAATGTTGTAGAAAATATGTATACAGAAGATTAATACCCAAAATCGCAAATTGATTTAAAATATTTAGTAACTTAAATTCATAATATCACATGGTGCTGCCATCCAATATTGTAGGTGTGTAAGTGTATACAGAATGATGGCTATATTATATTCTAGGCTATAAAACTCCGTCACTTATTGGCTATAAAGTATTTAAGTATATTATTGGGTTTTGGTTTACTAGTTGTCGGCCAAGAACGGGTCACTTCTCTTTGTATATCAATAGGTAAAGATTTAAGAACAGCTGCGTCAATTTTTGGAGACAATTGCATTGGTGATGAAGGACTGAGGCGAAGATCAGCCATTTCATTACTTGGAGATTCTCTGCGTCCACTTAACCATACTTCTAATCTTGTTTTTTTTGGTAAAGGTTCTATTTCATTCAATAAATCATCATCTGTATTCTGATTGTTAGTACCTATTGACTTCGAAATTGGAGATGAAGTGGTACTCATTGCAGAACCATCATTACTATCTTGATTCACACTCATTGGCGACCCGAGATTAATATCGGAAATACCTTCTTCTGAGCTTATATCTAAAACAGACTGAACTGCGACTTGTTTTCGTAAAAAAGACGTAATACTATTTTTTCCGGAAGATCTTTCCTCGAATTTTGTGAAAGCAACTCCTAGAAGAGTTAAATGGAATGGTTTAGAAACATCAACAGTACGATGAAATAATTTCATTGCTAATGTCAACATTTTAGCATGATCATAAACACCAGATTTTGAAGAAGGCAGTAAATGTTTTGGTAAAGCACATTGCCGAGTTTCCCTTTTACCCGAACTTGATTTATTAAAATCATGTTTTCTAACTGTTAATCTCATAGCAACCGGGATTCTTCCATCTTCCATAGCTAATTCTGTTAATCTTCTTAAAAGTGCCCCTAATCGCGATTCTACTTCTGCTACTAATGAAACACTTTTGAATCCATCTTCTAAACCTATAGACTGCTTTTTCCCTGTTGGTTTTACTACAGTTTCATCAATACCTTCAGCATTATCTTTTAATTTTCTTGCTAGATCAATGCCAATTTTCATTTCTAAGGTTTCTAAAGATGTTTTGCGTAAATCATCTATAGTCTTTATATTATTAGACATTAACAATTGTGTAGTCTTTTGTCCTACACCTGGTATTTTAGATACAGATCCTATATTAGATAATAACATAGGAGCACTGCATGGGAATATAAGTGTTTGTTGATTTGGTTTATGCAATGATCCTACTAGTTTTGCTAAAAGTTTATTATGTGCTATTCCTGCACTGCATGTAACATGCAAATCTTTATAAATTCGTTCTCTTATTTCTGCTGCAATTTTGGAAGCAATAATTAATCGAGCATGACAACCACAAGGACATTCTTCTTCAGAAGCTCCAAATATTTCACCAACTGGATTTTCATCTTCCATAGAAATATTTATATTTAATTCTGAATTATTTCCAGAATTCATATATTTTTGTACAATAGATGTTACATCCATAAAGTTATCATCAAAACCCAGTCTTTCAACTAATGGAGTAAACTGATGTAATATTTCCAATATTTTAGCAGAAAAATGACGATAATTTGTTAAATCTTCACCATTTACCAAGGCCAGCCCTGGGCATAACCTTAAAGCTTCTTGTACCGACATACATTTTTTAATTCCATATTCTCGTGCTATATAATTGCTTGTCACTATCATATTTTTTTGTTGTACTCCTAATGGTTTATTTTCTAGCTCTGGATGCCTTAGCATCTCTACTTGAGCATAGAAACAATCAACATCTATATGAATTATAGTTCTTGGATGTCTTATAATTGCATCAAATTCAATGGAATCCATTGAGGTCAATTTACAAATAATGTAATACACTATTATTCATAGAATCTTTATCACATAAATATTTTATTTAATATTTTAACATGTATAATCTGTAAAAATAGTAAATATTTAATTAATATTAGAAATAATAAAAATAATTGATTTACAAATAATTATTATAATATATATTTATAATATAGCAAAATTTATTACCTTTTTAAAAAACAGATTTGATTAAAAATATATTTTTAAATGCATATTTTCATATTATTTATGATATTAACAAAGAATAATTTTCTTTTTGTTATTAACACACTTTAGCACAAATTTATATAATAATTTCTGAATATATAATTGTTTATTTGTCGATATGTTTAACTAGATGTATATCTAAAAAATAGGTTAAGTTCTTCAGTCAAAACATATAAATAATTTATTATTTTTAACTTACATATGGAGGTATATAATTGTATAATTAGTTATCATTTTTATTCTTAAATAAATTAATTCGAAACACATTTATTAAATTAGTTTTATTTTATTATATTTTAGAATTTTCTTTAAATTATAAAGTAAGGTTACCATTATTTAATATTCATTTGAAAGATATATTGTCTCACAACCACGAAGAACATTAAAATACAGAAATATTTTTATTTTTCAGAAATCCGTTAGATCATTAAATAGACATCAAATTGTAACTGGAACTTTTAAAAACACGAATATTTCACTTCCGAAATTCTCAGAAACTTTTTATAAATTTCATTGAAGAAATATATTTTTTTACGGCTGTTAAGTTTCGTTGTTAACACGAAACAAAACTATCGTAAAAACTAAATAGAAATTTGTTTACAAACTGTAATGCGACTAATTTATTTTTCACATGGTAGCCATGTTTTGAATTGTCATAGTATATCTTTCTATATACTACATATATATATCTATATATTTATACATACGCATATATATACATGTTTTATATAAATATATACATATATAAAATTTCATTCTAAATTTGATACAAATAAATGTTTAAGATAAACCAGTATATAATATAAATATATATTTCCATTAAAGAATATTATGAATATATGTAATGGCTCATTTTCATGTGTTAACAACCAATGATATTTAAAATAACATAAAGAAATGATTGACAATATGTAGATAAAATCTACAGTAAAACGTATTTTTTCTCTAGATATAATCCAATCAGATTATACATCATCTAGTAAAAATATATTACGAATATAGTAAAAATGAATTACTATAAAGATTCTCCAGAAAATTTTGTAAGTTTTATTTTACATCATTCACTCGTGTTTCTATATATGATTGTGATTCTTTATTATAATGTGCATTTTAACAAAATTAAAGAACTTATTATAAAATCTAAAAATTATTTTATATTTTTAAAAGTGTATATATCATAATAAGTTTTTTATATTTTTATAATATCTTGTAATGTATTGCACGTTAGTTACAAAGTAATGCTAAAGATTTGGTTGGATGTTTGCAATCTTATAGATGAAACATAACCAGAATACATTCAAAGATTTTTCCATTTATATAGATTTAATTGAAAGTTACAAGAACTATTCAATTCATAACTTTTAAAAAACTTAAATAACTTGCTCTTTTTCTAATATTAGTAGATGATGAAATTATTTTGATATTGCAAAATTATTGAATTACACAAATTAAAGTTGAACAAGCCAATGAAGCGAAAGCAGCCATCTTGGAAAATCCTTTTTCGCATTTCGAACGAACGAAGTGTCAAATATCGATAATTATTTCATCTCAGACGACTGAACTAAAAATTTTTACAAGAATTTTGCTTTCTTAGAAAAGTTAGATTTTTTAAAGCGACTTCAAAATTGAAATGTAAAAATTAATTTCGCGCCATAAAATAATATTATTCAATAGTTGCATTTAAAAGTAAGAAAAATATACAGGCGAGTTGCGATACAAACAACTCGAGTAAGAAAGGGGTAGGAGAATTTTTCTATTGAAAGTTGGAAATAATATAAGCAAGACGGCTTCGCAAAAAAAATCGTCTAAGAAGATGGCGGAGACCAAAGAATTAGAGGTGAGTGAAGTATTAGAAGTGGTGCAGTGCAGTTAGACTATGTGTGAAATTTTAGAGAAAAGTCGGCACGTCTGCATTGTGAATTTGTCGTGGTTATATCCGGGGTATCAGCGATTTATGATTTACGTCGGTGAATTGTATTACTAGACGCCTAGTACACCTTTGAGCGCGTTTTTCTTCATTATTCTTATAATTATTTTCTTTCTTCAGTGAAATATTAAGATTAATCAATAGCATTTTTTCTTCGTTATATTGTGCTTACAATTATGTTACGTTTGCTGAATAATGCTCTCAAAACACGTCCATATCTTCGTAATCACAGGTAACCTAAACATTTACTTTTTATGATTTAAAATCATTTTCAATATTTTTTTGTGATTAATTTCATATATTTTAATAATTAATAACAAAAAATTTGAATTTTCTGTAAATATTGTTAAATAAATAATATTATTTGTGGTTAGAAAAATAAATTTTATTTTATTATTGTATAAATTTAATATAAATTCTTATTTAATGCAATATGGATATTGATAAAAATATATTATATGATTTTTGTTAAAATAAAAAACTTATATTTGATATGAAGTATGATCCTTATACCTGAATCTTTAATTTTATTCCATATTTCTACAATTATATTCATATAAGCCAATATAACATATAAAATACAAAATAAATGTTATATAAAATTTGAATTATTGTAATTGAATATGAATTAAAATATTAATTCTTTTTACTTATATATATATATATATATATATATATATATATTTGTAACATATTTTTTTTTTATTAAAATAATAGGTTTTTTAACAATGAATTATATAAAATATATACATATAATTTTCTAATTTCAGAATATGATATTGAGTTTTCGAGTATCTGAACTTCAGATGCTTCTTGGTTTTGCTGGTAGAAATAAATCAGGTAGAAAAAACGAATTACAAGGTCGTGCATTAGAATTGTTACGTTTGAGGTCTCATCCAATTCAACTCAAAATACGTGAACTATATAAAACTATACAGTGAGTATAAAGCTTAATAATGTTAACTATTTATTTGATTATATTAAATTATTAAAAATTTCTATTATGATTTATCAAATTTTTATATATTTTATTTGTTTGTTTATTTCAGTAAAATTGAAAAATATTTTTCTCTCCATATCTACTATGGTATCCTATTATTTTTATAGTAAGGTTATAAATATCAATGGGTCATTAAAATAAAACCTTAGTTTCATTCTTTCTTTCAAAATTTTGTTTAGAGCTGATCAATTAGCTGCACATCAAATGTATGGTCAAACAGGTAGTTCTGGTGAGCCACAGATAGATCAAAACATGCATTCCAGAAATTATTATACAAGGTAAATACATAAAGCAAATAGAATGTATGAAATGTAAAGAACATATTTTTAAAAAAAATATATAATCTATTATATACATCTATTATATTAAATTATTATATTAAATTAGATTTGATAATATTGTTTCTTATTTCAATTAATATGAAGACAAGCTATCAGTCAGCAACAACAATCACAGTCTTCAGTTTCTAGTGGAAAAGATTTACCACCTGCTCATCAAGCATCACTACCTCAAGCACCTAGAACCAATCCAGTGTATCAATCAGGATATACTAGTGTAACACCACAAGTAAGTTAACATTTTATGTATATAAAAATTTATATCAATAGATTTATTCATATATTAGTTAACATTTTATATATATAAAAATTTATATCAATAGATTTATTCATATATTAGTCTTAGATAATTGCTTTTGCTTTTTTAATTTAATTTAATATATTAACATTTTAGCAAACAACAAGTGCAGCTTACAATCCATATCCATATACACCAAAAGTTTTACCATCACCATTACAAATTCAACCCAGAAGTCAGTATCCTGTTCATCCAGATGTCAGACTTAAAAAGCTACCATTTTTTGATTTATTGGCTGAGTTATTAAAGCCATCTAGTCTAATGCCTCAGGGATCTATGCGACTTCAAGAAAATACGTTTATGTTTCATTTAACACCACAGCAATCAACAGATGTAGCAAGTTCGCGTGATTGTCGTGCAGGAAGTAAAATGGATTATACAGTACAGGTACATTTTGAAAATTATTTCTTTTAAAACAATATTAAATATGTATGGAATATTTCATAATTTAAACTATGGTTATTTCAGATACAAATGCGATTTTGTTTACAAGAGACTTCATGTGAACAAGAAGATTGTTTTCCACCAAGTATTGCTGTAAAAGTTAATGGAAAATTGTGTCCCTTACCTGTAAGTTTATAAAAATATAGAAAACATATAAATATAATATTATTAAAACTAAAATTTTTATAAATAAAATATTTAATTTTTTTTTCAGAATCCAATACCTACTAATAAACCCGGAGTAGAACCAAAGAGGCCACCAAGGCCTGTTAATATTAGTCCTTTAGTTAAATTATCTCCTACTGTAGCAAATCAAATTCACGTAACGTGGTCGGCTGATTATGGTAGACGATATGCAATTGCGATATATCTAGTAAGAAAACTTTCAAGTGCTGAATTATTATCAAGGTTAAAAAGTAGGGGTGTTCGACATTCGGATTATACAAGAGGTTTAAGTAAGTAGTTCTACAATTAGAATATTTTACAATACTGAAATTTATTAACTTTTATTGATGATTTTATTATGATTTATTATGAATTATGATTTTTTTAGTTAAAGAAAAACTTAACGAAGATGCAGATAGTGAAATAGCGACAACTTCGCTTAGAGTATCTTTAGCTTGTCCATTAGGCAAAATGCGAATGAGTACACCATGTCGGGCGACAACATGTTCGCATTTACAATGTTTTGATGCATCATTGTTTCTTCAAATGAATGAAAGAAAACCAACATGGAATTGTCCAGTTTGTGATAAACCAGCGTTATATGATAATCTCGTTATCGATGGATATTTTCAAGAAGTATTAAACTCTAAGAAATTATTACCAGATGTAAATGAAATTCAATTATTGCAAGACGGATCTTGGGAAAATTTAGTTTTAAAAAAAGAAAAGGATAAAGAGAAGAATGAAACAAAAGTTATTACAAATTCGCAAGATCGTAAAATCGATGTAGATACAGTTGATCTTGGTGAGATTTCTAATATGTTTATAAATATATATCGCAAATTTAAAAATAAATGTTTTTATGTTAATAAATGTTTAATATAATCATTTAATTGTTTAGATGAAAGCAGCCTTACACCTCAAAAGGAAAAGAAACGAGCTGTTGTGATTGATTTAATATCAGATAGTGATGATGATGATGAACATACCACACCAACACAAAGTACAAAAAAAATAGCTAGTGGTACTTCTTCACCAAAAAAATCACAAACTAGCTCGATTAGCAGTACAAGTGAATCGCCAGAATTAATGATAATCGATTTAGAGTAGAATTTTTTGTATTTATTAAATTTATTATCAAATTGCCAAATTTTAAAACAAATATGCAATTTTGTACAGAAGAAAAACTAAAAGTTTAATAGTTTTGTGATTGTCTTACAAAAAAGTTACTGTATAATAATAAGTATAATTCATAACGTTTTTACTTTTGGTACTTAAAATTTGACAAAAATAAGCAAAATATTTTTTTTTATATATGTATAATAATCTAGCATTCCTTCATTAGATATGTAGAGATGATACATTATTTGTTTGGTATTTAACTCATAATGTATAAATAAGATCAAATTAATTTAAATAATAAATTGCTTTATTATACTTTTTCATTATCATAATAAAATCATATATAATTTTGTCTAAAATAATAGTCATTTTGAATTTTAAGGTTATTTTGTAATATAAATTTCTTATTAACTTTAATGTGTAAATGAAAGAGCGAAATATAAAATGTAAATACTTGTACTACAAATTTTAATATAACTAAACCTAAAAATTTTTTTAAAATTGCTTTTTTAAATAAAATATTTAGTTGTGAATATTGTTTAATTCAGGGTTAATAAAACTTTAGATTATATTTGATATAAATTCTGTGTTTATAAAAGTCAATCTAAAATTATAAGAAATAAAATAGATATAAATAGAATATTAATGATTTAATATTTTTATATTATATATAGTTTTTTTACGCGTATTATACATATTATGAATTTCAAAATTTATTCTTCTGAAGAAATTTCTACATTTGGATACATATAATTGCGAAGTGATATTCCAGAAAGTTGTTGGTCCACAGGTTCTCTTGTATCATATAAACTTGGTGCTTGAAATATTATGCCAAGTGTTCCTGCAGTACATGCCAATGTAAAAACCCAAAGAAAAAGTCTATCTAAAACCATAGCTACAAATTTCCAATCTTCTATAACCTAAAAATATAAAAAAATATATAAGAAAAAAATTTAAGATTAAGAATATACACACACATACACACACACACACACACACACACACACACACATATATATATATATATATAAATATTTTTTAAAGAATATAATTGAAATGTTAAAAAAAGTATCAAAAGTAAAACATATGAATACTTAGACAATATGTATTCAACTTACTTCATTATCTTTGTCTGCATTTTTTATATGTTGAGCAATAAAACGCACACCTTTAAGAGCTGAGATAACATCCGGAGATAAATATCTTGGGACTGTATTTTCACTATCGGTGACTATAACAGTATTTTATTGTTAGCATATATTTAAATATATATTACATAACATTAGTTTATTTATGTAATGTGAGACGCCATTGTATAGAATATTGAATTATCGAATTATTTCGTTATTCTAATATGCGATTATTTATTTTTTTGTTGCCATGTAATTCTTTATATGTATTGTGTATTTTGTAAATTAAAAAATACTGTATATTCATAATATTCATGCGAGATTATTCAAATATCAATGCACTGATATAAATTTAATAAATAATTTTATTTTAATTTAAATTTAATAAATGATTTTATATGATATATTATACATTAATCTAAATATTTACCTGATGCATGTGGAATATGTCGAGCATCATCTTCTCGTATATTTTTATATTGAGAGGTAACACTTTCAAATCCATCAGGACTTCCTTTCAATTCCAGTGGATAATCACTAACGCTATCAGGAAAACTGTAATGTATATTTTTGAAATTTTTTCTATTTAAAAATTCGATAGATATTAAAATATTTACCTAAAATCTATTTCATTAGTATATCCGCTATCCATATATGTATCATCATATTCTGGAGTTGAATATGGTGTTCGACGCATCATTAAAATTCGCGGCATCCAATTTAAAAATACTTGTCTAACCCATGGCGACATATTATGTGTAGATGGAGATCTATATAATACAATTAAACATGATTTTAAATATTTTATAGATAAAATAATTAATATACAGTATAAAATTAATATTATTTTAGATTACCGAAAATGGACATTTAAAACACATACAGTAATCCATATCGACAAAGTGACTAAAATCATAGTAAATAGTAAATATTTTCCTAAAAGTGGTATAGCCAGAGATGTTGGTGGAATAATTTCGGCTAATAATAAAAAAAATACTGTCAGTGAGAGAAGAATGGAAGAACATAATGATACCTATAGAAATTAAATATTTTAAAGAAATTTATGGAATATCTGTTTATTTGTCTATTACTTTTTATAATTCTTACTTTTTCACCTGAATCACTTGGTAGATAAAATACAAGTACTGTAAGGAATGTAATACCCACGCAAGGAATTATTAAATTAACCGTATAGAATAATGTTTTTCTTCGCATTGTAATATTAAAGGTGATATCTGTGTAAATAATTATTAAAATGCATTTATATTTTATAACATTATAATATTATAATATTATAGCAATTTATTTACCAGAATAGGGTTCTGTGCAACATGGATAATATTCTTCATTTCTCGATGCTGGTACTTCTAAAATGTCCCATTCTACTGATAAGTAGAAATCGCTCAAATCTATTCCTTTTGCAACTAAATTGCTACCAGCTTCTTGTTTCATATGTTTTAAATCTACCTATTAGTAAAAGTCTTTACAAAATATATTTTCAGTAAATAATATTAATTTTAAGTTAATTATTTATTAATCTCTTAAACTAATTTATTTTTATTTGATTTTTATTAAAAAATATTCATTAATATAAATAATATTTTTGAATTATAACCTGAGCGCCATTGTAAGTCCATGAACCGAATTTCATAATACACGATTGTTCGTCGAATGGGAAATATTCTACATTAATTTCACAAGATGATTTATAAATTGCAGGCGGTTTCCAAGATACATCACCAGTATATTTTAATGTAGCTTTTGTCATAAGTGTCACTTCATAATTACCATCAGCACTATAAAATTATATTTCATTAATATTTATTTATATAAGTATGAATTTTCAAATTTTTTCTTTTATAATTTTATATATTGATTCATTAATAAATTATAATATAAATTAAAATTTACTTATTATACAGGACAATATCTGGTAACCAAATATTTTCGGAAGGTACATATAGCATTTCCACGCCACCGTATTCTTCTGGATTCCATTTTAGTTTATAGTCATTCCATCTCTGTAAATATATAAAATTTACAATGAATGAAACATTTATTTCGATCATTAATTTTACCTGTTCTACCCAGACATTAGTGGTCATCACTTGATTTTTTAAATTCTGTAAATTTAAGTAATATTATTAATATTACTTTATCAAAAAAAAAAAAAATTGTATGATTTAATACCATTTCAATTAATTGTGATAATTTTAAACCGAGTTGAACTGTCAAAGTTTCGGTATTGTTCATAACAGGTCGTATAAGTCTATTATAATTCGATAATAAGTCATCGTAAAGTCTTTTTGTGTCAGGATTTGCTTCGAAAATTTTCAATCCAGCAACACCTAAATACAAAAAAATATAAATCTTTTCTGTCATTCTACTTTTTGTATAGAAAACAATCGAAGTAAATGACAAAATAATATAAAAAAAAGTACAACAAAATTTTTAAAAGATTTAAATGATTCTCAAATATTTATGATGAAAAAAGATAAAATACTTACTATATATAATATGAAGAGTATTAAAAAGAACACCGAGCGTCAATATTCGCATTTTAAACGAAACTATTTACAAATTTATATAGGATTAAGATGCAATGACCACTCCCAATAAAAATACGTTTATCTGCGAATACTATATAGTAATTTTTAAGTATAAATTAATAAATATAAAAAAATTAATATTATAAATATTTATCTTACTTAAATTGAACATTAAACATAAATTGGGAATGCTATCAATAGAATACGAATAATCTGCATCTCACTGGACCAAAATCGATATCCGAAGTTAGCGCCATGACACTTGCTCCAACCTGCATTTCATTGTACTTTGTGTATTACAGATTCACATATCTGCGCATGCGTATTAATGACGCGCGCATATCTTTTTAAAATCGCATGTATTTAGTACAATTAGTTAGTAGCAAATTCGTGTGCATTAGTGTACATATATTTTACCATTCAAATCTTTGTTTCTTTTAATTTTCACAGATTTTATATATATTTAATTTATATTTATATTCTTTCTTGTGTTTTTAGTGATAAATTAAACAAAATTATTAGTTTTTTACTTGTATACTTTAATTAAGTAACGAATATTAAATTGTTTGAATAGTTAAGGTTATATACTATTGGAGAAACTATTGAAAAATTGTAAGAATAATTTTTACATGTATAATATTTTTATATTATTTTTTCTAATAAAATTGCATGATCATATGCATTGCTTCATTAAAAATATAATCTATCAATCATAATGTCGTATATGAATTTTAACATAGATGGTTTCTTCTTATAATTTGTTACCGACATTTTATAAACCTTGTTCATCAAGTAACGCACTCTATATGAGATTTCGCGAACATCTCGTTTGGATGCATTTTCAAGGTTCTAGAAAATTATTCTCAGATTATTTGTATGAAATGGTTAACAGTTTGCTGTAAAAATTATAAAAAAACTATTTTAAATGATATTTAGAAATCAGTGTAAAATTGATTGATAATAATTTTTTTTGTGATTATATGATAATCATTATATTTTGACTTTTAATGCAATTAGAAGTGCATTTTCTTAATATATAATCGTATTTACTAAACATAATCTAAAGAATATTTGTTATAGTTTTTTTATAATTTGTTTCATATAATTAATTATTAAATATGTCTAATTATCTATTAATATTTTTTAAAAGTATTCTTAAACTATTCTATAAAAATTCATAATGATTATTTATAGATATTTAATATTTTGTAGATTGCTTATTGGTTATGTTCAATTAATATTTTCTAATAAGAAGAAGATAATCAAAGATAATCTGCTTAATACAAAAAATTTATTTAAAAACAATGTGAGACTAAGCAATGTGACATCAATGTGAGTAATGTGTGATTTATAATATATAATAATATATAATAATATATAATAAATGTATATAATATATAATAATATATAATAATATATAATAAATATTGGAGATTTGGAATAATCTATTAAGTAAATGAGTTATAAAAAATTCTAAAAAATAATAAAGATTAATAATAAAATTCTTGTTTCTTTGTTTAATATTTCAAAGATTTATCCATATAGGATAAATCCTAAATATAGGATAAATTAAAGTAAAAAACTAATAAAAACTGTTCGTTTTAGATGGTTATGGTTAAATGGTCTAGAAAACATCGTAATTATGTCAAAGTAGTAAATGCGAAAAGTACTATGGCCATGTTTCAATAAAATTTACATTTGAAATAGAGATATCTTCCTCAAAAATGATATCCGTGGTGTAACAATCTTAGGAGAAAGAATCGATCTAAAACCACATAACAGCATACACGATTATCGATCAAGGATACGTAAACAGCCCGTAGTATAGTCGTGCACACGCTGTGACCAGGCCACTTAGCGTATGTTTGTTTAGTACCTTTTACGACTATATCGTCTGGGCATGTGTTAGATTACGAAGGAGCCAGTGTCTAGAGTATAGCTGAGGGTTGGATGGCACGGCGCCATACTTCGAGAGGGTCATTTATAACTGTTATCGTGAGACTTACTAGGCCACTTACTACCTCCGCTGTGTCTATTCTTCACCCCTCTTCTATTTTACAGAAAGAAACGTAAGTGCAAGATGCACCAATCCACCAAACCTATCGGTCATTCTATCACAGCTTTTTATTCGATTTCTCTATATATTCCGCCAGAAGATAGTTTTTAAGTAATGATAGCTTTATAAAATTGATAGGTTTTCGAGGGATTTGTTTTATAGATTTGTCGAATTATAATTTGATAACATTTAAAAAAAAATTTTATAGTTTCCTTGATATTTCGTGTGTATTATTAATTTTTATGTATTCTCGATATTTGAAAGAATGTTTAAAAGAAAAAAATTTATAGTCATTTTGATATTTTGTGTTTTACAATTAATTTTTTATAAATAATCTATTCTTTTCTTGATGGACAAAAAATGGAATGAATTGAGACGACAGATCGTGAATTATTGAACTAAAATAGAGTAATTTATAGAAATATAGAATTAGAATTGTTAGTTGTATTTTATTTAGTTTTCCTTAAGTACAAAATCATCAACAATGATTTCATAGTTGAGAAACTATAGGAAAGTAGAGAAGATTATTTTATATAAAATATATAATTGTTGCCGAGCCAATTACAAACCTGTTTTCATTAGCTTTAGAACTTGTAACTGTAATAGCTATGCACACGATCCTAATCCTTTGTTCTCGCAAAGCAACTTTGAATGGTGAACTGACTGAACTTTGGACACATAATGCTTACAGTTGGTAATATGCTAGCATTACATAAACCTACGTGATAACTATGCGTAGGTAAATTTTCATCTTTAACATTGCTAAGTATAATTTCTGTCACAATATATATGTAAGTATATTCTCAACTTATATTTACCATAGAAATATATTAATTTTAACAAATGACATTTAATTTTAAATAGTATTATACGAATTGTTTAGTAAGTTACATAGACAACGAAGATAAAACTGGTAACATCTATTGAAACTCTTCATGTTTATGGAACAATAAACGCAGAATAGTCAATATCATTTTTGTGGTTATTCTGCAAATTATAATGTTTACAGAATTTTATTTATTACAACACGTGAAACGAGAAAGCGTCGCGACATTGATGTTACAACTAACAGCTGGTCGTTATTGGGGACATTTCTCATCGCTTTTTTGTCTGTCACTTAGGGACGCAGCACTTAATTCTAATATGGAAATATGTCGTGCACTCCGCAAGCCGACGATTAATGCGAATAAATCGATTTTTGGCGTAGAGGTACGACGGTTGCCGCCAAATCCTGGAAGCTACGCCAAGTGGCGGAAACACGAGAATTCCATCTGGATTTACTAAGATCAGTGCCATTTAATGTGGGGCTCGATAAATCCCTTAAAAGCTGGTGGTCCGCAAGAAGACGGCGCATTACAATTTTCCAGAAAGGAGAGTGGCGAACGTCTAGAAGAGACGCAGACAAATCTGCAAATGCAAGGCTTCAGGTGCCAAATGCTTTCATCGTATAACGTGAGTAACTGCTATTCTTGTTTTCTATCGCAATCTATGCGAATCGCGAGAGCCATTCGAAAAAATACGTGTTCCATTTAAACTGATCGAAATAGTTTGTAAAATGGATTTTAATGAATACATTATACTATATACCTACATATGAATATATTTTGGATTGGATTAAAAATAATCGAGGAAACTAAATATGAATTGAAAAAAATATCTATATATTGATTTCAAAAATCTATAACAATATTTCAAATCTAACTAAATATCTTCGATATATATATTATCCAATTTATTCTACACGTTTCTTCAATTAAAACTATTATTTTCAGAACGTATAATTTGCATCGAATCGTTCTGTGTTTGATTCAATCAAACAAGAGGATTCAATCAAAAGTTTTATGTTTTAAATATAAAACAAGCTCTTTGCGACAATACCATGTTAGCGTAATTTATTTTTCACGAATATATTAGCGGAAGTCGCGCAATATCGGTGGAGAACCGAGACGATGGTACACGTTATCTCTGGTCAGGATCGTTCCCGTGCAACGTTAGTTAAACGTCGTTGCTTGCTTATGATTTCCATAATTCCGCGCACTTCGTCCGTGGCAGGCTCTAAAGAGCCAATATCGAGCAAAGTAGGTGTGTACTTTAATTACTAGAGATAATTACGTCGTCACCGGCTTCACTGAGGGATGGAGGTTTACTATGATAACAGAGTATCCAATATCCTGGTGAGTTACGAACCAACCACGATGCAGTCTCGTGCATATGTATTCCGCACGTACGCACCCTAGATGTATTTACTATCGTATGCACGCCAGCACATGCCATCCGGTCGCGTTTGACCTCCATACAATTATTAATATAATTATCTTCCCGATTATTGTCTTACATTGCTACATTTAACTACGAACGTACGCATCTATTTCTCTACCTCTCCCTCCTCCTCCCCCTCTCTCTCTGAATTGGAAATTAGTATCATATGTCTCGAAGCATATCATTGCGAAGATTAGTTAAATTCAACGATTTTATCCTTTCATTTTATACACATTCTATTTTCTTGATATAAGATAATATTTGCTCGAAAGAATTTTTTTAAATAACAAATTTATATTATATTTACATCATTCGTACAAACTCTCTTCGTTATCCGAGGTGCTTCGATGAAAAATTCCGTACATGCACTTTATATCTGAAAACATATATCGATCGAACGCATACATCATAAACATCGACACATCGTAATTGTCCTGACTGGGAACACGATAGAGTCGACAGGGAAGTAAGAATTGCGGCGGAGGGAATTTTCGGACATGATATGGGGACCGGGTCGTGCGAGTATTCCCGCATACGACGACGATAGGACGAAAGCCACGGGGGTAGCACGTCGGAATAATTTATTTAGCTCGAGCAATGTAATAATGGCGGGGTCGCGCCGAGTGCAAACTGCAGAACGCGTTCATTACTACTTTAGTCGAAAGTGTATGGTGTGGACAAACGGTTGGAATGAGGGGTTGTATCGGGAGAAAGAGAGAGAGAGGGAGGGAGAGAAGGAGAGGGAGATGAGGAAAGGGGGATGGAGCCACGCGGTATGGAGACACACACGTGTACGGTGGTTAACATCGTACCGGATCGGTATGAGTCGCAATGTGCGGTTTACCAGACGGCGATATTACCAACGTTAGATACACTGGCCGGCCCCGAAGGGGGTGGACCATAATTTTCGATCCCTGTTAACCGTGTCC